ATTGTGGGAAGCGCGATATTACCGGTTGACCAAGTGGTTTCGAGAAGCAACATATGTGAAGGAAATAATTGCGGGTATGATGGCCGAAACAATCGTATATGACACACACTTTTCAGTCGTTTATGTTGTCACACTGAGCTTTCTTGTTGCACTTTAGCATTTTTATCATTGCCATGTGCTGACAAAAGTGAGGCTTGATGCTCAGCGAGCTTTTCCAACTATACACAGATATTGTAGCGCTTCAAGCATGAAGACAGACGTAGAAGATCAAAGACTGCATGCGAGAAGATAGATTTATTACCCCCAAGCAACACATAAGAACTACAATCACCTGTATCACCTGTCGTCCCGTTGATCGTCGAGTGACTCGAGCGGGTACCAGCAACTCTTCCATTTCTCCCTATCGCGTGCAAGAGTAGCCCAGTGGGTCCTCCTTGCTCTAGGAATTCGCTGAGCATCATATCTTTCTTCCATCGCTTTCGTGAAGAAATCGGACCAACGGGTCAGTGGTCTTCCTTTAGAGCGCTTGACGTCCCGAGGAATCCAGTCGGTAACGGCTCTCGCCCATCGGTTGTCGTTGAAGCGCATCACGTGTCCGGCCCACCTTATTTTCGATATCCTGGCGTGTAGAACGGCGTCTCTGATTTTCGATCGTTGACGTAGGTCGGAAGTTCGGATCCTTTGTCTCATTTGCGAAATACGAGATACTCCTAGCATCGACCTTTCGACTGCGCGTTCGATAACGGCAAGTGATCTTTCATCCTGCTTACGTAGCGACCAGGTTTCTGCTGCATACGTTAGGGCAGGGATAATTGTCGAGTCGAAAAGGTGGGCACGGAGTCGGATGTTCTTTGCCCTCTTCACTACATCTTCGATGCTCTTAAGCGTTCCCCAAGCCGCTCGTTTCCTCCTGCTCAACTCTGGGGCTAGGTCGTTCATCATGTTGATTTCACGACCTAGATAGATGTAACTGGAGCATTCAGAAATTGTCGTTCCGTTGAGCGTGAATGGGACATTAGAAACCCATCCGTTCCTCATGAACATTGTTTTCGTTAGATTCAGTTGAAGACCGATCTTTCCACAGGCGTTATCGAAATCAGTCAACATTCGTTCCGCTTGGCTGATGTTTGGTGTTATGAGAACGATATCGTCAGCAAGCGAAGATGGTTTAATTGTCGACCGTCAATTTTCACTCCCATTTCGTCCCATTCTAATGTTCGCATGACGTTTTGTAGGGTGGCAGTGAATAGTTTTGGCGATATTGTATCGCCTTGTCGAACCCCTCTTCTTACGTCAATGGTGATATTGTTGTAGAATGGAGATATTCTGGTCGTGAAATCTTTATAAAGCTCACGAAGGATCATTATGTACCGAGTAGGGACGCCCTGGTTATCCAGAGCCTCTATAACCGCTTCTGTTTCCACTGAAATCAAAGGCTTTTTTTAGATCGATAAAAGTGAGACAGAGTGGTTGTTTGTACTCTCGCGAAACTTCAATGAGTCTTGTGATCGTGTGGATGTGGTCCATGGTACTAAACCCTTTTCTGAACCCTGCTTGTTCGCATGGCTGTTCTTCGTCCAGTGTTCTGTCAATCCTGTTCAGGATGACTCGAGTAAAGAGTTTATAGACAACGGACAGCAAGCAGATTGGGCGATAATTGCCTATGTCGTGAAGGTCTCCCTTTTTGAACAACATTACGGTCTTGCTGGTTTTCCATTGAATAGGGACCTTGCATTCTGACAGGTAGCGAGTGAAGAGCCGAGCCAGGGTGTTGATGAGAACTGGCGGCAGGTTCTTCAGGTGTTCTGGTCTGATCCCGTCTGGACCGGGTGTTGTTCTATTTTTCACCGACGATATAACATGTCGGATTTCGGAAGGAAGGACCGGTGGGACGACATATTCGTCCTCTTTCAATTTATATGACGGTAAGAGGACATGGCTAGCGAAGAGATCCGAGTAGTACTGGTGGATGATTTTCTCCATAGCCCTTCTGGAAGCTGTAAGTGTCCCGTCAGGGTATCGGAGTGCAATCATCTTGGTCTTATAGTTGGCGAAGCCTCGCTGGGCTTTGCGAATGCTCTTCCCAGCTTCTGCAGCTTCTGCCATGACTGCTGCTCTTCTCTCTTTAAGGTCTTCTTTTATCGCTTCTCTGCATCGTTTCGCAAGTTCGGACGTAAGGTTTCGGTTGCCTGCGGCTCGTGCGATTCCACGTTGACGTATCAGCTCGACTGTCTGCAGAGATAAGCGTCTCTTCGTGACCTTAGGACTTTCGGCTTTTTTAGCGCCAACGTGAAGATATTCAACGAGTCGATCGTATTCTTCGTCGATGTTGTCGACAACGGTATCTTCCCAAGAGCCGACTAATGATTTTAATACATCCCAGTTTATGGTAGTTCTGGGACTTCGTTGTTTGAATTAAATTCAATTAAATAATTCAAACAAGAACTACAATACAGAGCGAAAAATACAACAAAATGGCGGGTACATTTGTTTTTATTCACAATGGTCGAGAGGCAACATTTGTGACTTAACCCGATAATGGCCGAGATTAAGAGTCGTCTCATTCGCTCATCACCAACAATAGGAGCCGGCACCAATAGATTGGTAACTAAAGTAGTTGTCACATTTACTTCAACACCTGGATTACCTGTTTTTCCACTTTGTGATAGTCTAAACTAGCACCAATATAAAAGCACAAAGCAAGATTCCAAAATTAATGAGAAAAAGTCAAAGAGCACCGGTGGTATAGTGGATAATATGCAAATCCTCACAAAGGGTAACTAAGGGTTTGAAAGCGAACATAGAGTCTGAACAAAATATAGTCTTCGTGAAAAACTTATAGAACATACCAAATAAGGTGTTGAACGATAGTCACAGAAGCCATCTTTGTTGAACACTTGTGCAGAGCGACGATATGTGAAGTGCTTTATTAGATGGGAATTTCTTACATATGCGGACATGGTGCCAGGTATACATCAAAAGCATTGTGTATGAGTATGTCAACAAATCGTAATAGGTCAGCCACGATACTGTCTTTCTCTGAAACTCCTCTATCGTCCAAGCTTTTAACTGCATTCCGAACTCTTGCGACCAAGATTATACGTCGTGTTCTTCCAGTGGCTATAGTAAAGTCTGGTACAACCGCTGTGTATCAAAAAGAGATTGTGCAGAATTTTTGTTAATGTTCTCATCTTACTACAGAAAGGTGGACAGCGCTCTTTTTCACCGGGTACAATGTAACAGGGAACGGAAAGCTGCATTAGGGTGACATTTCTTTATGTTTTTCCTTCTCTAAACTCTATTGGAGACTTCATGTGATACGGTGCTCGGTCCCATAGGAGCCGCAAATTCTCTATTCTCTATTGAGGATTCTCTAGTCCGGCAGTTGTGCCCCTTACTTTCAAAAAGAATTTCTCTCAAAGCCGATTTTAGAGTTTAAATTTGAGAGATGATCCGAATTTTCTTTGCAGTATTTTGATCTAAAATTTGATTCAGTCCTCGTGTTTTCGGGCCATCTTTGCATTGATGAAGCAATGATAAATTGTGGAAAAGTTGGCTGCAGATAAATCCATCTGCTTCCTTATGGAGGGCATCAAGTTCTTTCAGCTACTGTCGTACATCACTTCGTACTTCGTTTTGCCATCTCAAACCATAGTAATAAAGATGATAATTTTCTTATACAAGCCGTCACCACATTTTACTGTGCGGATCCCACTGCGTCAAGCATTCAATTCGCTTCCCCGCTTTCGTTGTTCCAACCGTACTTGGACATCTTTCTTGTTGTTCACACTGCATCTAAAGGATCTTGTCTTCTTTGTATATCGTCGATTACTGGTTGAAATAGATCTGTTTGCAGACTTGGGGAGAGTTGAGCTAGGGCGTTCGCAGGTGAGTACGAGAGAGTGTTATGAGACAAAACCGAACCATCACTTGGTATGAGTTTAAATAATCACCAGCTACTCGGCCATCGCCTTCCTTGTCCAATAATGGTGATGTTAGCAAAGATAGCGTAGTAGACAACGAGATGATACATCAGTACCAGAGCAAACTCAATGTGCAGTCGTTTTGATATCAAATAAACGTTCTATTTAATCAGATCAGCAACTTAGATTTGTTTGCAATAGATGAAACGCAAACATTTCACAGTGGGCGATAATCCTAAGTTCATCCATTACTGCGTGTCAGTAAATATATGAATAGAAACGATTGTAAGGAGCAATCCATGACTTCTTTAAATAGATAGGGGCACTGTGATCCATGATAATATCGTAATAATGATCAAGAATGCATGCATAAATAGCTGGAATTGTTAGAAACTACTCGGAAAGATATTTCAGTCTCTTCATGCTACAAAATAGTTCCTGACGATTTCAAACGCATTGCGCAGTACATCGATGGCTTAAAATATACTGATCAACCGGACTATATGTTAGTTCTTCTTTTCGTTACTACTCAAAATTGCGGCAGCACAATTGTCTAGTCCAACTTATGTTATCTGTGCCAAAGATCTGCGCTGCCTCGAAATGCTCAATAGCTCTAAATTCTTCTATATTCGACTCTTTTCTGAGTTTTTGCTGAAAATAATATGATCTGACAATGTATTTTCAAGCTTTCATGGCGTCTTTTATCGGCACTTATACAGTGCAAAGCACGTAGTCCAGCATCACAGCCTCGCCAGTTGTACGGTTTTTTTTTTGTCTGAAAAAAACTTTCTAGGAAAGATCGCCTTTACATGAAGGAATTGTCGACGAATGTTGGCCGTGTGCAAAGTGAAAATTTTCACTTAACGTATCATCAAAAATACCACCCTTGAAAAATCGACTATTAATCACTACAATGTCCGGTGATCTTGTCAGTGGACATGTAGTGATACATTATTTGTGCAGTGCGCAAAATGATGAACATAAGTGGGTTCTATGTCGATACGTGACTGCCCCCGTAGACGGTTGGCTGTTGACAGACAACGCGTTGTAGCGTAGAAAGAGAGGTGTACACAACGAGCGTCGGTAGTGCAACGGTCCGGCACCTGCTCTAGGAAAGAAAGAGATCTGGGTTCGAATCCCGGGTGAAGCAAATGTTTTGCACATCACTCTACATTATTTAGTCGAAATGAAAAGTTCCACGTTACACGTAGAAAGTGCAACATGTTTGTCGACGATCCCTCCATGCAAGGGGTTCGCTCTTTATTATTCAGTTGAAATGAAAAGTTCCACGTTACACGCAGAAAGTGCAACATGTTTGTCGACGATCCCTCCATGCAAGGGGGTTCCCCTTAAAAGGGATCAACTTAGACGAAAGGCATCGTGCAACCGACGAGGCTGTAACGTCGAATCACGTTTCTTGCACTTTATAAGTGCCAATGAGAGACCTCATGAAACAAAATACATTGTCATATGATAGCTATGATACCAATGATAATTTAGCAAAAACTAGCGACACCATTTCAGTTACGTAAGAAATGCACTAGCAGCCATTTCGAAAGAGGCTCAAATTGATTTCTCAAAGCCACTTGACTGGGCCGGCATAACAACCAGGAGGAAGGGACAGGAGAAAAAAGAAGAAGAGGTCGTCAGCTTAAGTTTTTGATACCCTGTGAGATTTTTATTAAGTGCTCGAGATTGTTTCGTATTGGAAAGCGAACAACGTTTGTAGAAAGGTGGCAAGATTAGAGGGCATGTACTAGTGATATATACCCATGACAGTTTTTTCTTTCAGTCTTGAAAATGGTTAGAAAGTTCATGTATTCTTGGAATAACATGACCTTGTTAATATAATGTTTTTTCAAGGCGACTGGTATCTTGGTCAATTTATCGTTCTCTGGATCCGAGAGAGTGCTATAACTGGTGAAAAAAAAAGCAATTTTTCTGCTGGAGAAATAAAATATCCGGTCTACTAAAAGAAAAGTTGAAATGACTCCTTCAGTCTCTCAAAAAACGACTTATAACACTGTGAAGTGAATTTCTCACTGAGATCGTATCAGTTCAACGAAAACATTGAAGCATAGTTGCACTCGTGTGCCCGGCTTCATAGAGTGTGGCGCAGAAGGGTTAATTTTATTCAAACTCGCTTTGTTTTTTGAGGTAGCTTTGTCATATGTCGTGACATCTAGTTAATGCTTAAGGTTGCTTGTAGATGAAGTGCGATTGGTTAATAATCAACCAAGATCACATGTGGGAGTCTCAGCACTTTTCCAATTTGTTTCGTTACCTCACGTCCACCATTCAACAAAGTTTCAAACCCATTTGCGTCTAACATTAGTTGCTGTTTCTCCAACTAGGTGTAATAAGACGTTATCACGTACAGCGAAGCGAATGAGTTTGTCCCAGATAGGTCTGCCACTAATTCTCAACTCAGGTAGAGCGGGAGGGCTGAGTGAGTTGCACTGGCGTCGAGTCAACGCTTAGGTGAATTGAGACCGCATAATAGACAACTGATACTGCGATACCACTATCGTGACGTTTTCAGTGAAGAACGAAAATGTTTTTTAAACTGCATTATTGAAGATTAAGTCAGCCTCGAACCTCGTGGCTAAAGCCAAACAATGGGCAAAAAAAATCCTAATATAAACTTTTGATTTTTTTCCATGTTTCATGCAATAACGATTTATTGTCAGAGCCAAGATACCTCAACCGACAACAGACAAGAGGAAACAGGTTCAGGAGAGAAAGATGAGTTCTCGAAAAGTAAAAGGTCGCTTTACAGTGAATCGCTTAATCGATATATTGGTGAAAATAACCAAGTAGAATATAAAATATTCTCAAATGACGATAGTGTAATGTGATAATAGACTAAGAACTTGAGGAAATCAAAAGGCACAGAACGATTTTATATTGACCGATATCTTCTTCGCTAAAGCTGACATATTCAGAAAGGTTAAAGAGAATGGCTATTGCCTTTCGTTCTCTATTATTATCATTTCAGCAAAAGTTCGCATGGTCGCAAAAGTCGCAGAATGAGATAACGCGAACAAAAGCATTAAAAGTAAGTTCTTCTAACGAGTTTCAGGCCTCAGAGTAATAGAGTAGTAGCCAAGATTTTTCTAGGAAGACTTATCAAAAACATACATATAATATATTAACACGTACGTCCACTTGTGTTTAAATCAAAAAGTCAGAGTTTGATGGAACTTTCGATACTTGATTTTGTTCTGGTCTGTAATGTTTTGTTTCAGAACATTTTCTGTGTTTGCTACACACGATCGTCAAATGTCAGTATACGTCGATGACAACTTGTCAAGTTCACTTGAATGAAGATATTCACTTAATATCTCAGTATCATACGCAATACAGATCGCCTAGAGTATTTCAAGGATTGTTTGTGAGTATTTCGAGTAATCAAGCGACAAATTATATTTCATTCGCGGGCTTTGTGAAAAATGAGCGCGATAAAAATTTTGTCATCGTAAAATTGGCTCACCATAAAAATTGCTTCCATCATTTTATTAGCCTATACCGATTCAAATCTTATCATGGCTCAAGGTGTTTCTGAGACTATATGTGATGTGTAGAATAGAGTTGCTCACCTCGACAAAGCCATCGCTGCCAAGTACGTTATGTCCTTATTGTAAAACCCAAAATTCTCAAATTTAAGCCAGAAAGGCCATCGTCTCCAAAGCAGTCTGAGCATATAGATATAGATCTCTTGATATCAACGTCGCCAGATCCGACGGAATTTTGAGAGGGAAGCGTCATCAAAGCCTCCTGCGTTTAAACAGCAATCCGAGAATGAATTTCAGGATAGACTATCAATTAAACTCGACAATGATCAGATAATTTCTTGATTTTCCTTTCTTTTTCAATGATCACAGACCTGTCAAACGATTTGTATAGTACAATATAGGAGGTACAATATATGTAGTCGCAGTGGCGCATATCGGCAGTTTTACGGCCCTCAGAGTCTGAAGGAATCAAAATGACGCGCAATCTCAGCTAAACAATTTCACAGCCTTTTTTCAAGTTCTGGAGACGGCAAATGTGCCAAAACATGAGCCACCACAACTATTGTACTGCACTGAATAGATCGTCTTTTGATAACAATGTGCTTGGTGAAGAAGAGAAAATTGTGGAATAAGCAGACCCATTGGCCATTTGGAAAAACGCTATTGTTCACAAATGGTCATTGTATTCGTCAACTTTCAAGAATAACTAAGTGCTCGCGTAACTACTCCACAGACTACGCCTAATCTCACGTGGCCTATTTGTGGATGATGTTGATCTACGACTTTAGGGATATGGTAGCTTGATTGACAGGCTTTCAATTTCCAATAACAAGAAGACATTAGAGGTTGAGAACATGGTCAAAAAAAATCAAATAAATTAAACTCACGCCTTGTTGGTGTAGTCAATGTGTATCAATTCTTCAATTCTCAATAAACCTTTATCACATATTCTGCTGACAGACGCTCTCAGATTGCCATTGTCCTGAAAACAAGGACGTCAAGTGAGAACATGAGGAACTGAGAAGAAAGTTTATTGCATTTCCTATACATACTATACATATGACTAACGCGTGAAGTCAACTTTCCCATGACGACTGAACTTCTATAAAAACTACACTTTTTTGCTTTGTCTCTTCTTTCCTTGGAATATATCTAGCTTTGGCCGTATTCCGCAATATGACACAAGCAGTTCAGAATCAAATACACACAATATATATATATATATATATATATATATATATATATATATATAACAACGATTCGACTCAGGTTTAGTAAGTGAATGGGTTCATGGTTTAAGGATTAGCAAACGTATCATAAATGCAAATTTTTTGAGCATCTTCAGTCTTAGACTGTTTTTACCGCCGGAATCATTGCGTGATGCCCGATGTCTCACGAACTGAGCAAGCATACATCTATGGAGTTTCTCACGATTGCATGCCTTCGCCACATAGAAGTCGAGAGTTTTCGTGGTCTACATATGATTTCTCTTTGACCCTCACACATTCGTAAGTCTTTTTTCAAAACAGACTACCGCGTTTACTGGTTAGTCAGGTAGTCAGCACTGATTCCTCATTCTAGATAAATCTTGAGCTCTTCCGTTCTTATCCTTCTTTTTGATTCTTTTTCGATTACTCCAAATGTGAACGGACGCAAATCGACTACATATTCTTTGAATCGCATGGACTGTCTTCATTACCCGCAATTTCCTTGTAGAACGGCGAGCTGATTTTACAATGTTGATCGACGAGGCATTACCTCTTCGATATTCTCAGATTCTTCGTCTCGTAGGTGGCCTTTTACATCTCCATTGTCGAACAAATTAGCTTAGAAGGGTAAATTAGCTGGAGGGGGGTGGGGGGTGGTGGGCGAGATTTTTTTGTTCAGAACCTGAATTTTTCTAGTGAATTCCCATAGGTTTCCTTACTTTCATACTCTCATCTGCCATTTCTATGAGAAAACACACCAACTGTTGTTCCATTTGTTATTTTCTGTAAAAGGTGAACATCATGATGGAATTTGGAGAGTAGTTCTGACAGTATACAGGAACTCATTTTGGGCGCCTCAAAAGTCTTCAGATACCCTAAGACCGACTGTCTATTAACCTCGGCATAGTTTGAATAAATGAATAGTTTCTTCTGTTTAGCCGTTCCGAGGTGTTATTGATATTATTTATTGAATATTAGCGAAGCATAAAACATCACAGTCAGTAATGCAACTTCAATATAGAATATTCGAGGTGGCTAACGTTTCGGCGGGTAGCCATCGTCAGAGCCTGGAAAGATCACATTGATCCACAATCCACTAAGCAAAAACCTCCATAACCCTAACAGAAAACGTCAGAAATGTGTTTTGGATTGCATAGTAAAAGCTTCATTTTGAAAACACTCACCGTTTTTGATGTTTGGGTCTATCAATTGTTAAATGAAGACCAGCCGCTAAAGGTCAGTGCAACAGTGGGCCGTGCCTAACTCGGGCCGGAAAAATCAGCCTGATGCATGGTTCGAGGTCACGCGTGATTGCGAGGCACTCCTCTTTTCGGTTCATTTTCGGGCCTTTGTTATATATCCAAGAGGCTTTTAACGTTTTACGCGCAGATGTTCTTGATTCTTGTGCGAGGATTGTGAATTTGACG